AGGTCCCTTCCAGCCCTAATGTCTATGAAGTCTATGAAGTAAAAACTTTCATCTTTCACAGGCATTTATACACTAACTACTGTTTTGGCTTGATATTGGTTCTCTACACTGGGGCTGTTTGCTACAATACATTTCACTAACTGCATGCCATATACATAATAATAAAAATATAATGAGTACAATTGATTTCTCCAAGGAAGAGCCTTTCCAGAAAGAGACTTGATTCCCAAGCAGCACAATGCCCATGTTAGCTTGCCAACAAGAATGGCTCTTCTGGCACACAGAATGTAATGGTTACCTTCACAAGATGGGAGTGGTTTACTCCATGTTCCATTGGCAAGGCATGTGATATTCTGAGGCCCAACTAGATGGTATCCAAAATTGCACATAAAAGTCACGTTACTTCTGTATACATTTCCCAAGGAGACAGACAATGCATTTTCTACAGATGGATGTGGCTCACAAGTTATCCCTAGAAGAGAAGAGCACTCTGATCTTACACAACTTCCTCAGCTTTTATACAAAGTCAATTGTTTTCAATGCTTTTCTGTAGTGTTTCACAGCCTGCTTCCCATAATAGTTTACTAGGAAGAAATGCAGAAGGTACAGGCTGAAAAAATTATATATAAAGAGAAATGACTCAATGTTTCCACAGGACAGATGTGGCAGCATAAAAAATAGACACTCACTTCTCCTATTGTACAGAACTGAGGAAGAGATAGGGTCAAGAAACTGGCCCAAACTAAGAGCAGAATGGGAGGGTAAGGGAGTTTGAAACCAAAGAGGAAGGGTGAAGAGAGTTTATTGGCAGAGGCTATAAAACCTTAATAATAGAGTCACGGGCTGTGCACAGCATATATATAGGCCTGTCCCTGGAAATAACTCATATCCCATTGCTGTGGTATGAGAAATTCAGAGATATGGACGCAAGACATTAGAACAGCCAGGCTGTATCAGTACTGACACTGCGTAGACATCACTGCATTGTGATCGGCAAGACTCCATATCCCCAGTGCAATCCATAGCACACATTACTGGCCAAGTTCTCCTCTCTTTATTCTGGTGAAAACCCATGCCACGCCATGTCAGGGTGCAAACAAGAGGAGAGCTAGCCCAGCAGCTTTCAGAGCAAAGCCTTGCTGAGGGCCAAATTTTTCCATTGCTGGCCTATTGCTGGTGCATCTCTATCAAGGGAGCGCTACTATATACCAAAGATGGCATTTTACCATTATGTAGTCTTTACCTGCTTTAGAAAGGCATTAATCTTACTCTGACATGTACTTACTCACACACGAAGGGGCAGGGGGATTCCACTTTTTGTTAACATGGCAAATCCTTCGGGTTGGTCCCTGCAGTTCAAAGCCTGGATTACAGCCATAGACAACGTTGTCTTCAAATAGGAATGCCTTCCCTTGAATGAATCCGTTCTCAATCGGTTCTGGTGGTCCACAGGATATCTCTACACCAGAGAAAACATGTTTTAATCAGTTGTTTTTTACAAAAAGCTTCCCTAAAATCCTTCTGACTCTTCTTTTTGTGAAACAAGAAAGACCAGTGAAAATGGAAGAAATATCATTTGCATGTGTACTGTATGTGAGCCAATATCCCTAGGTTATTCAACTTGTCAACAAAAGAGGTGGTATAATAGCTGATAAGAGAGTAAGGCCTGGTACCTGTTAGGTACCTCTGAAAAACAAAATCTGACATAGGCTGCTTTTATTATTTATTAATTTTAGATTTATACTACACCCTACCCAAAACACTCAGAGTGGCTTTTGGCAGAAGGCACCAGGAAAATCCCTGCAGAATCAGATGAATGATGATAAATGTGAAAAAAGAAAAAAAAATGCAAACTGCAGATTAAGGACTTAGCCAGTCAGGGTGTTAACACCAATGACTCCAGTTGATTTCACCTGCTTTAGAGATCATCACCAGTCCAAAAACCTACCCTATAAAACAAATAAGCAAGCAAATAAAAGTTTTTGAATCCTGGGTGTTCCCTTTAAAATCTGCAAAGTTTCTTGTTCTACCAGTAACACGTGCATTGGGCAAGAACTGTGGCTTTCCTATTTATCATGGGAGTGTTTTCTCAGAATTGTAGAAATGGCTAATTATAAAAATAAAGGAAAGGTGAAATTGTTTTAGTGTTACCAAAAAGACACACCCATGTTGCACATCCTAAACTGCTGAGAAGAAGCGCCGAAGAACAATATGGTCCAATTCCTCAAACCATCCCATTTTGGTGACCAAAGTAGGGCACCTAGAAATTGAGGCTCTTAAAAACTGTGGTTACTGGGCATGTCTACACATGGGCATTTGATGTGCATGAGCCCAATTTAAGGAGCATTAAGGGCACATGTCTACATGTGTGCTCCCTTAATGCACCTTAAAATGGGAATTCTAAGGTAATCGCACCTACATTTGATACCTCCATAAAGCAAGTATCAAATTTAGGCGTGATTAGTTAAAGCACATTAACACATATGTAGACACACTAATGCAAGATCTTTAGTGCTGGGTCTGCCCAGCCACTAGGAAGCTGGCCAAAGCCCAGCACCAGAGCTCCTGGCTGGCTGCCTCTCCTCCAGAGCTGGGCTGCTCTCTGGCAGCCCCTAGTTGCAGGCTACAAAATGGCTGGAGGCTTTTATGCCTTGAGAAACACAGTGCAGGGAGTCTGATGGAGCCTGTGCACTCTGCAGGAGCTCATGAAGCCCCATGTGCCCCTTGGACAGGAACCAGGCAGGCTCTGCCTGTCCTGTTACCTAGCCAGAGCTGCTCCTTGGCCACAGGTGAGTATTGCAAAGGGCTGCAGCCTGCTGCATCCCTTGCCCAGCCCTGAAATTCCCCCCAGGGCTGCCGGCCCTGCTCTCTATGGCAGCAGGGCCAGTACCTACTCCTTGCTGCTCCTCACCCCCAGCTCTGTCTCTTTGCAGGCACTATGATGTCTCTGCCATCTGGCTCACAGTCCCTGGCTGTGCCCATGTTTTGGGTGCTGCTCTCAGCTCTCCAGAGCCAGCATCACAGGGACAGCCATATTGGGGCCCAGGGAGCTGGTGTGGGGAGCATATCCAGCACATCACCCCTGTCGAGCCCTGGCTCCACTTGCATTCCCATGCTCATCCTGAGAACCCAGACCCCCAACTGGACCTGCAAGGCAGCGCATGACCTTATGGCTCTCTGGAGTGAGGTGAGGCTGACATTCAGAGAAGCAGTTTGCATGGGGTGGGCGCTTGAGCGCCCACATTTATAAGGCTATTTCAATGAGGACGTGCATGCGAAACCACTCCTGAAAGGCGCAGAGTGATGCCTGAAAGCCAAGATTTTGCGGACACAGTGGGTGGCTGTGACTGGTTTCAATTGTTGGTCTGGTCATGCCCAGAAGACCTTGCCCTTCCTTGGAGATGTTCAAGATGAAGCTGGATAAATACCTTGCTGAGTTTGTTTTCAACCTGGAAAAATGCGGGTAGTGGAGTTCCCCAGGGTTTGGTCCTTGGACCAGCGCTATTCAATATCTTCATCAGTGAGTTGGATGAGGGCATGGAAAGCAATCCGTCCAAATTTGCAGACAACACCAAATTATAGGCAAATTAAACATGATGGAGGGCAGGGAGAGGATTCAGGTGGATTTGGACAGGTCAGGAATGTGGGCATAACAGAATAGGATGCATTTTAATAAGGATAAGTGTGAAGTGCTACATCTAGGGAGAAAGAATCACCAACACACCTACAGGTGGGGAGGTGACTTTCTAAGCAGCACAGCAGCAGCTTACCATGGTCCCTGGGCACCTGTACATGGCCTACCCCCAATCTGAGGCCAGCCAGCTCAGGGCCCCTGGTGCAAAGCATCTTATGTCTACAATTTTGCAAACTTGTACAAAAGGCTTCTGTGTCTTCCCTCTGCTGTGCCCTGCAGGAGCGATGCATCAGGATTGCTGCCATCTGTCGCTAGAGCCACCCGGATGTGCTGGCTGTGCCAGCAGTACACCATGGACTGGAACCTCCTGCTCCAGCGGCTGATGGTGGTGGAGAACTGGGTATTGCAGGACCAGGCACAGCAGCAGGTGCAGGAGGCAAGTGAGCTGTCCTGGCAGAAAATATTGCACAAGAGAATCCTTGGAAGGAGGCACAGGACTGTGCACAGCAGCAGCACTGGGCCTGGCTGGATGCCCTGGAGCAGTGCCATGTGGAGCTGCTCCAGCATCAGCTGGGCAGCCATGGCCAGGCAGTGGAGCCCACATCCAGATCCCCCATGCCAGGCCCTGGCTCTGGCCCCGCAGGGCACCTGGGTTCCACCCGTCACCCCTCAGAGGGCCTCCACCGCCTCCCACCCTGAGGAGCTCCTGCTGTTTGCTGTGGCCCCCAGATCTGCGGGGGAACTGTCTTCAGCCAGGGTGCTGGCTGCCTGCCACTGGGCTCTGTGTCCTGGGTTCCCCCACCACACAGCCCCTGACTCCAAGACTCAGAGAAAGACTAAGACTGATGTATATAGTTTTCAGTTTGGGAGGAGGGAGCTGAGAAGCACAGCTGCAGTAGAAGCAGAGCAGGCACAGGCTGCCCGTGTCTCTGGCATGCTGTTGCTCTGACACAGGAAGTGTCAGCCCAGAGGTCACAGTGCAGAGGGTCTGCTTTCAAGATGAGTGCCAAGTGCTGGCAGCTGGCTCTGCTTTCAGTATGGCTGCCAAGTGCTGGCAGCCATGGGGATTTTTACACATGCAAGTGCCGCAGTGCCAGGCACTTTGAAAAGTGCCTAGTGTTGTGATGCATGCAGTTGTATAAGTGGCGAAATGCGAGTCAGCGCTGAGAAAATGGTGGCAGCACGCTTTTGAACTAAAACACATCGGAGGTGCTTTAGTTCAAAAGTGCACTGTCACCATTTTTTGCACGCTGATGTGCATTTCACCACTTATACAACTCCACATGACACAGCACAGTTTGCCTCAGTTTGTGTGGGGAGCAGACTCGATTAAGTGAGTCTGGTCAGAAGTGGTGGATCTCTGGTGCATTGTGGGGCAAAAAGTATGTGTATAAATGCTCTTTTGTGTCCATAGGCTGGAGCTTTCCCAGGTGGCCACAGATGAACATGGCAGGGCTAAAGCGACTTGAAACTAAAGTTAGTCCCCAGTCTCACTACGTGTATACACCTGCCAAAAATGCTTAACGCACATTGGCTTAATGAGCATTAAATTTAAGCACGCTTAAATTCACACGTAGGCATGCCCACTTCAGAAAGTCTTTGTGTAAAAGTGTTGTTTTTTTAAAAAAAAATTCATTTCTGTTTAGGTAATAACATTATCTTTGGATGCCAGCAGTTCTGTAACTTTTCAAGGATATTTTCAATAAAATCTTGGGCAGATGGTGGTGATAGTATGAGTTACAGACAAAGCAAGTGAATGTTAGAATTTACCTGGCATAGAGACCACTGCCAAACTGAACTTGCTGTATGATTAAGCTCAATGAGCACTTACTTCTGCACATAGGTGCTGCTCCACTCCACAGCTTGTTTCCTTGGCAGATCCGTTCAATGTCACCCTATCAGACAAAAGAAAAGGCTCACAAAGCAGCATAAAATTACTAACACTACTGTGGAAGAGATTCAGAGCTGCTTTTATTTTTGCATGCCTGATACAGAATCATAGAAAATTAGGGATGGAAGGGACCTCAGGAGGTCATCTAGTCCAACCCCCTGCTCAGAGCAGGACCATACTGACTCCAGTATTCTGGACTCATTGTTCACTTTCCCTCTGACTAAAATCTATGCAAGGAGGCAAGTGGAATGTTGAGATTAGGATCCACCAGGCACATCTCAGCCAAATTCTGCCAGCTGTTCAGAAAAAAGCACCCGAGGTAAACAAAAGAGCTTATGGGACGTTCAGGAGAGGCACTGGGTGGGGAGAAAGGCAGCTTCTCTGAATATTGGTGGCTTTGCTTCAGTTTGTCTGGGCACCCCGTGGGAGAAAATGAGGCAAAAGGGATGTGTGGAGACCTCTAACTAATACTGTGGTCAAGTACACATAAAAAGGAGCAGGTTAAATCCAAAAACAGAAGCATCCCTGGCATGTGCATGGGTTACACCTTGACAGGTGAGAGGGAATAAGATAAGGAGGAATAGATATTTAGGTTTCATAATGTCACAGAAACTGCCTGTTGATTGCAAAATTATACTTGCCACTTTAAATACAACACTGCTTTCAGATTATTTTAAAACTGTTGGCCAATTAGAAATAGGACAGCAAAACTAATGGTCAAGCTAGTGGCCCTGTTTCTCCTCTCAGACTCAGCAATTTAACATTGCCACTGCTGCCCAGCTGCCAAATTCCCAGAGCCATAGGAATACCTGCAGGCTGTCTTGATCCTCCCTGGTTTAGAATATACTTACATTTAAGGCATCCTACCCCTGCTATGCGCTGCAGAGGAGTAGAAGAGCCTTCTATTTTAGCTGCCAAGAGGCAGGCCTGTAAGTGGCGCAGATGGAATAATTTCTAAGTGAAGTATCATTGTTTTGCCTTTTATATTGGTCCAGATTATAGTGTAACTGGCTCAAGAAGGGGGAGTGATGTTTTGCAGTGTTTTGCTAAGCCTCATCATGCTTGCAGCATTCAATAAGTAACAACAATAATAACAGAGAAGTATAAAAGTTCAACAGGAAAACTAATAATAAAGAAGAATACTTCATTCTAATAAACTTGGAAAACAGTACAGAGGATAATGTAAAGGTTAATCTTAATGGCACTGGTTGGTATGAGGTGGAATCAGTTTACTTACCTGTAGTTCATAGCCAGCATTACATTTGTAATGGACTGCATCTCTGTAGCTGTATCCTGTTCCAAGCACAGCCCCATGTTCTGGAGTTTCTGGTTTCCCACAAGACACAGGGACACAGATCTCATCTGAAAACAGTGGCACCCAGCTGCCATCGTCCTAAAAAATTAACATTCGAGATAACTAAAGCTTGTCTAATGTCCCTCCCTACTACATAGCTGGTGCAATCAAGGATCTTACCAAAACGCCTGCATCGAAGAGAACTAAAAGAATTAATCTTCGTAAACATATGAGAAATAAATATTAAATGAGAAAATTAAAAAAGCCATTGGGGAGAGCCCTGACTACCAATATAGAGATAGGGAGTTATTTGCTATAATTTGTATTGCAAGCTTCAACCCAGACTGGAGCCCAGCTGAGCTAGATACTGACCACTGGCACGGTGAGACGGAGAGATCCTTGGCTTGGGGATTATGGTCTAAAGAGAAAAGACAGGGAAAGGGCAAGAGTCCAGTTTCTGAGTGGCATGCAGGCTGTGCTGCATGTGCTCCTTTCCTGTACCACCCCAGTGCCCACAGGCCCTGCATATTATGCTATGTGTATGTGGGTCCCTCCTGCTACACAGTGCAGCAGCTACCTTGGTGTACCAGGCTGGTGCCTTGTGCTGTGCAACATGGGGTTCCTGGGTCCTCCTGAGCTACCCAGCTGCAGAGCCTCTCTGCCCTGACACCAGGGGTGGGTTCAGGAAGCAGAAGCTGAAAAACGGAGGAAAAGCCTTGAGACTCTGGTGGTAGCAGCTACTGGAATGGTGCAGGGAGTTGTACTGAGACTGGAAGCCTGGTGGGGGAAGGCCACATGTTAACCCAAACCTGGAGGCCTCTGTATATAGTCTGAGAAATATTCACTTTTCTTTCAAAAAGGGAGGGCATTATTTTTATTTTATAGTGCCTTATCCCTGCACTGTGGACAATCAGGGCTTATTTAATCAGCAATGAATGCATGCATCATTTATTTCAATAGGAGAGGCATGTCAGCATCTTGGTACAGAATGGTGACCTTACCGGTACTTTTGAAAAAAGAAAAGGAAGCAATCTTTACCTGGCACACTGATGTGCTTGCCCCCATCAAAGTGTAGCCTTCTGCACATGACAATGTTACACTCTTATTCACAGTCAATTCATCACCAGAAACAATTACATTGGTTAGATTTGTTGGCACGGGGCATTTTTTGAGGAAACAGGAAATACTTGTAGGAGACCACTGTCCATCCTCCTGACAAACGCACATATCTGCTTCTGTCTCCATCACGTAGCCCTCTAGGCACCTGCAATATATCACAAACATCTGACCACAGAATCATGCCTGTGTATGATGTTTTACTCCTCAAGGTACAGAATTTTCAGTGTGGCTGGTTACTCAGTATTTGCTGTACCTTACTGGAGTCTATAGATTTCTCCATCTTTTCAGGGCAGATTTCTCTGACAAAGAAAGGTGAGTGTATATTTTTGTGGTATTTCCATGTCACCTGTAGCAGGAGTTCCAGCATTCTGAAGCTGCCTCTGCAGCATCCTCTGCCTGCTTTCTGCTGCTGCAACAGTGCAAAAGCAGTACAAATCTTTTGGATCTTGGCCCTTTCAGCTTCTTACTGCTCAGAAAAGACTCAGGTGATGGAACGCCCCAGCAGCAGCTCCTACACCAACTACTGTTTGGGCATCTGGCATATGACCCAGATTAAGGAGGCATGCGAAAGATGTCTTTATGTACTTGAGGATTCCCTGTAGCTTGATTGGTTTGTTTCAGGCAAGGGCAGCTCTGAGACTGATCTCATTTGCATCAGAGATGAGACAAATCTTGAGCTGGCACCAAGTTTAGGCAACAGTAAAAGTGACTTAAAGCAAGATATGCTGGCACCCCATACAAGTCCAACACCAAGTACAATCCAAGTGGATGGGGAAAAATTTGGCACTCTGTGGGTTTGTCAATATAAGCACACATATGCATGCACACACACTACCTCCCTTCCCTATTCCTTACATTTAGGAGAGCTTAAGTGAAAACCCATGCATGTAAACCCTTAAAGTCATGAAGTTCAGGTACCTTCACTCACAAGCTGTCCCTTTCATGCTTCACATTAATCCCTTTCATTGCCTTTTCATTATGCTTCTGCCAAGAAATTCACTCTCCCATCACAGAAACAGCCACAAAGCGCAAACATTCTGCAAACTGCCACAATAAACCTGGACCTGCACACCTTAGTAAGTTTAACATGAGTGCATATCTATTCACTGTTTCAGTGTATGGTGTGCTATGCACTTGCAGCATTAAGGCCATAAAGAGATGCCATCCTTGGAGCAGGATCAGCTGTGCCAGGATGAGTCTGCATATGGGGGGAGCCCCAGAAGCACCTGCCCAGGTTCCTTCACTTTCGGAGGTGTGTCCTGGGAATCCCTTGGCGGGGGAATCCTCAGGCACATGTATTGTGCTGCTGTGCCCTGACTCAAGGCATGCCTTTGCAAATGGGGGAACCTCTGTAAATGGGGGAACCCACCTTTTGCCATGGCCACACGATAAGGAGTATGAATATTTGTTTTCTTGGATTCTGTGCTGCCATAAAAATGTTTATAGCAGCACAAAGGCCGCATCTGTTTCTGGTCTAAAGTCTTCCAGTACAGTGGAAGAAGAGGGTCACAAGAAGGCTGTATGTGTTGTGTGTCAATGACTGTGATGTTTTCTCCATCACTTTTCTATGTATTTTAAAAACTGTTTGCTAAACTAAATATATGTTTGCTTTATATATACCATTTTTGTCCTCCACTTATTAGATGGAAATATAATTTCAGCTTCATACCTGTATCGGACTTCGCTTCCATAGGTGCGTGCCTCTCCGACAGGTACAGCATTTGGAATGGATGGTGGGGGTCCACATGTCAGTAGTTCACACTGAGGATGCGGCTGTCTCCAAACACCCTCTTCTGTACAAGTCAGCTCTGGATTCCCTTGCATGGCAAAGCCAGGTACACAGTTATAGGTGACTGTGTTCTCATGTGTAGAGCTGCTCCCATTGATGTAAGCATTGGGGATGGTGGGTGGGGAGCCACATGTGATCTGCCCACAGCGTGGAAAACCCGAGCTCCATTTGTCAGCTGCCTTGCAGGAGATCTCAGAAGGCCCAAGCAGCTTGAAGCCCTCCAGGCACTGGAACTGTGCACTTTTCCCACAGCTGAAGTCTTTCCCAATAACAATCCCGTTCTGGATCTGTGGCACTGGGCATGTACAGAGCTGGCAAGAAGGGAGGCTCCCGCTCCAAGAGCCATTGGACAAACACTGCCGCTGTGAATCTCCATGTAACTGGTAACCTTTAAAACACACATACTGTATGAATTCCCCGTAGCTAAAGTCTGACCCATTCAGAAAGCCATGAGAGAGGTCCTCTGGAGGGCCGCAGTTGACTGGCTCACAGAATGGAGCCTCTCCATCCCAGGTGCCATCCAGTTGACACGTGAAGATGGATGCTCCATGCAATATGTAGCCTTCATTGCAGTGATAATGAACCTCCTTTCCAAAGGCATATTCTGATCCAGTAATTGTCCCATTGGGAAGAGGTGGAGGCACTGCACACCTGATGGCTTTACAAACTGGAGCAATTCCACTCCAGCTACCATTTGCAAGGCAAACTCTACTTCTGTCCCCATCCAGCAGGAACCCTTTGTGACACAGGTACTCAGTTTGCTTTTGAAATGTGTATTCTTCTCCAGTCACTCTGCCATTCTCTATAGCTGGTGGCTGGCCACAGGAAATGGGAACACAAATGGGCTCATTCCCATCCCATGTCTGGTTTTCCTGGCATGTTCTATTAGCTGAGCCAATTAACTGGTATCCAGAATTGCATTCATAATGGACGGTGTGCCCATAAGTGTAATTCTCTCCTTTTATACTTCCATTCATGAGTTTTTTAGGCATGCTACATGATATTGCTTCACAAAATGGAGCAGCACTACTCCACCGTCTATTAGGCAAACACAGCCTTGTGTTGGAACCAATAAGTTTATACCCTGGGTTACAGGTATAGTGCACTGTGCTACCGAGTGTATTCTCTGTAAAATGCAAAAAGCCATTCTCTGGAGGGAACAGCAAGTGGCACTCTATGGATATGCACACCGGGGCAGTTCCATTCCAGGTCCCATCCTCCTGGCAAGTGAGAAGGGAGTTTCCCAACAGCTCATAACCAGAGTAGCACGTGTACAAAATCATGGTTCCATATAAAAAGTTTGATGACTGTACTGAATTACTTTCCTTCTGAGACATTCTTCTATCCTTCCAGGCACCTGCAGCTAATGTGTGGGCCAGAGGAGGGCTCTCAGTAAGGAGCATGTCTTCTTGGTTAAAATGTCTCTCCTTACTTCTAATCTGTGCATATTCCCCAAAGTCAATGTGGGGAGGTAGGCCGCAGTCTGTTGGCAGGCATGCTGGAGTAAAGCTAGACCATCCTGTCTCTTCACAGGTCTGCATGGCGAGACCAGCCAGCTGGAATCCTGGGATGCAGCTATAGATTACCATGGCACCATAGCTGTAATCTGCACCTTCCACAAAGCCATTCTCAATGGGCTGAGGAGGATGGCAGTTTATAGCTTTACAAGAAGGAATGTCAGCATCCCACTCTCCTGTCTCTAAGCAGTGTAGTACATTCGGCCCTTTAAGCTGAAATCCTCTGTCACACGAGTATGTAACAGTTTCCCCATAATGAAAGTTTGTGTGTGAATACTTGCCATTGACTATCTCCTTAGGTGCTGGGCATTCAATAGGGTTGCAAGAAGGCTTTCCACCTAACCAACGACCATCTTCTCCACAGAGAATAGTTGTATTTCCCAGTAGTTCAAAGCCTGGTTTACAAGTATACAGTGCTGTACTAAGATATGTAAGACCCTGCACATCCACTATGCCATTCTGGATTTCTTCAGGTTGGGGGCATTCCACTGGGATACATTCTGGGAATGGCATGCTCCAGGAGCCATTAGCTTGGCATCTGACTGTAGCTTCCCCCTTCAATAAAAAGCCGTCTGTGCAGACATACTTCACAGTGCTACCAAAATGAAGAGGCGATGCCAAAGGTTCACCAAAGGGAATGTATGGAGGCCTACGGCATAGCACAACTTTGCAGACAGGAAAAGAATCATTCCATTGTTGTGACTGCAAACATTTCAGCACAGAGGCACCATGCAATTCATAGCCCTCCCTACAGGAAAACTGTACAACCCCTATTTGGTTAACCATCTCTTTCAAGACCAGCTGGTTTTCAAGCAATGGTGGTTCTGGACACTTTGCCAACATGCACTTTGGGTTTTGCTTTTTGCTCCATTTCCCAGATTTCTGGCACGTCCAGGAGGTATCTCCAGACAGCTTGTACCCTTCATCACAGAAAAACTCAACCTTGGATCCCACATCAAAACTTTCTCCCTTGGTGTGTCCATGCTGGATCGGTGGGGGTTTCCCACAACTAAGAGTAACACAGGAAGGAAGTGATTCACTGTACCACTGGCGATTGGCTTGGCAGACGGCCACTGAGCTTCCAACTAACTTGTAGCCAGCATGGCACTGAAAATTCACTTGATTTTCAAAGACATGTCCAGTTGTGTCCTGCAAAACAGATGAGGTAAAGATACACATGACAGAGATTTACAACCTTGGCATAACCCATTTGATTTTATTATTTTTCTCCCTGTATCTTATACTTGGTCAGATACAAGACAGACTTTAGGCTGGATTCCACAGAAATTAATGCCTGATTTGGAAATATGCGAGCAAGCTCTGCTTTTACTTGTACTCTGAAGTCAGGCAGAAGGCAGGGTAAAGTTACACCTTATAGATTAATTAATTCAGAGAAGCATAAGCTTTCATAAGCAGCTGCTCACTTTGATAGATGCTATTATATTACAGTACATTACATCTGATGAAATAATTTGTAGCTCACAAAAGCTTTTGGATCTCTGAATTAGAAATATAATTCTACCCTGCCTTATGCCTGACTTCAGACTAGGACAGCTGACTACCTCTCTTTGAAGTCAGTGAATTTGTATTGAATGCAATGGTAAAACATTCAGATCTAAAAAGTGTAAAGCTAGAAAAATGTTTTCCCTACTTTCCTCTCCCCATCCCACATAAATGAAAAAAGATCTGTACACAAGAAGGAAAAAGAGCGGCAGGAAGCTAGGAGTAGCTAGAGCAGGGGTGGCCGCAAGCGTACCAGAAGTGGCACAGGCAGCCTCTTTTTGTGTGACTTGGCAGACTGGGGAAGGGACAGGTAGCACAGCAGCAGATAGGGCAGGGAGCAGAAAGCTGAAAAACAGACCAAGCAGGAAACAAAGGGCAGGAAGCAGAAAGCAGAGCACCAGACCGGGCAGGGGAAGGTGATCAGAGTAGCACTTGGGGAGGGTGTTGGGCCAATTTGTGGCACACCTGCCAAAAAGATTGGCCTCCACTGTGCTACAGAACAGCTTGCAACTGATATGGCTCTTTAGCTCTTTATCTTGCACTAACGTGAGACTGCAAGAAAGGACTACTTGGAGAATTTTATAAATAATGCCACACTTACTTACATATTACTGTTTTTCAGTATGATGATAGTAACAGAATGAAAACGAAATGAGAGGTCATTAGAGAAAGAATTGAATATTTTCAGCCCATTTAGCTGTCCCCTGCAGCAGGCTTGAAAACAACCAAGCATTTGTTACCTTTAGAGAATCAGTTAAAATGGTTCTAGGTACAATGTGTTCCCTGTCCTGTTCATAACAGAACTGTCTTGTCATTGTCAGCCCAGTTTTTTCCATACATAAGTGTATGGCCCTGAGCATTGTTTTTACTGTCTCTACATGATGATTACTAGGCTACAGGGAAAGTACCTGCAACCAGCAGTTCCAGGTTGTGAGATTTTACTCTTGGAGTTTTGATGCATCCTTCCCACTCTTTCTGTAGCTGATTACTGAAGCCTCAACTGTGAAGAGAGATTTATTCCCACTCCAGCCTAATTTTCATCCGTGTCAACAGATTTACAGAGATAAAAAAATGATTTGCAGAATCTGTGTGTGTATTCTTCATATGTGTGTTTGCAAACTCCACATCTGAGCAGATAAAAGACTATTTGTTATGCAGAAGTAGTACATGTACATGCAGCAACATGATGAATGCCATCACCCCTTTTTTCTGCTTCCTTAACTACTCTGGATGTACACTTACAGGTTTTTTGCTGCATTTGGAGCCCATGCAGATTCTGCAGGGTCAGCAACAACTAATGCATTGGAAAATGGGTCTCCAAATGGGAAAAAGTGTAAAAAGAGCAATGTAAGCTGAAGACATCAGAGTAGTGCCCAGACTGTGGGATATCTCTGTATAGGACTAGTAGCACAAAGAGTTTATATTACTGTTGGCAACTGCTGTAAGAATTATGATGCAGTTGAAAATAATTCACAGCAGACAGAGTAATCTGTAGTGAGAAATCTAGGAGGATGAGAAATCCTATATTCACAAACAGTTCAGAGGAAAAAAACTTAAAAACAAATCTAAATCTTTACAGTAAAGATGAAGATTTTATCATGAAAGCAGTGCTGTACATCAGTGCTGTACAATAAGCTAAGTACAGAATATAATGACTATGTAGGGCAGTCATGCCTTTTGGCTGCGACGGTGATGTTAGGGGCTGGTGGCATCTTTTGACTTAACTTAAAAGGCAAACTCAGCTCTCACTAGGAAACTGCACGTGCCTCTGCTCTTGCTAGGAAACTGTGTGCGCCTCCAGAGGGGTAATATTTTCTTGTTATAATTTACTGATTTAAAATCAGATCATTTTAGTAGCAGGCACAGAAACATCAAGGTATGTGAGCTAGCTCCAGCACTCGATAAAGTACTAGGCAGCAGCAGGAAGCTGCTCATCTGCTAGGGAAGAGAAATGTTTGGCAAGACATTTAGGAAATCACAGAAGATGCTTTGACAAGCAGTTATCAAACCCTTCTTTCTAAACAGAATCTCAATTAATCTGTTCCTCCTACTAAGAAGCCTGATGCTGTTGCAAGGCTGTCTACTCCCTCCCCGTCTCCATCTTGCTGCCTGGTGACCCTGGTTGTATCCTTATTTAACTTCAATAGGATAGGAGTGGGGGGAACACTGGGTATCATTAAGACAGGTAAACCTTGCTCGTGCAGAATGCGACTGCGAAAGCTTTTACTGTACCTTAATAAATCCGTTTTCAAGGTTGGGTGGTTCTCCACAAGATACCGGGTGGCAGGTGGGCAAGCTGCCGCTCCAGCTGCCTGTGGCTTCACATGTCCTTTTCTTCTCTCCTTTGATATAAAATCCTTTGTTGCAGCTGTAAGCCACTACTGCCCCAAAACTGTAGTTGGTTCCACTGGCGTAGCCATTGCTAATGCTTGGTGGTTCTCCACAGCGAACCGGGATGCACTGGATACTCAAAGGAGAAGGATTCCACTGGCCACCTCGAATGCACTCGATCTTGGCAGAAGTGTTTAAGACAAAGCCTTCCATGCATTTGAAGCTCACGACTGAGCCAGCAGCAAATTTTGCTTTGTTAATGGATTCCAGGATGCTATATGACACTGCAGGTGGCTTCTCACAAAAATCAGCTATGCAGTGAGGCATCTCCATGCCATCAGGTGGCACCCACTTCCCCTGTGCATTGCAAAGCAGCTGGGAATTGGCTGCCAAGCTGTAGCCATCTGCACAGTAGTAATAAGCAATATCTCCAAACAACCGATGAGCACTTTCCGGTGAAGCGTGTTCCACATGGGGAGGTTCATCACAGGAAACAGCCAAACACTGTTGGTGACTCATGTTCCACTCACCGCTGGGTAAACATTCTACAGTTTCAGGGCCAATTAACGTGTAACTGTGGATCAGACAAAGGCCAACAATGTTCACAGTTAAGCTGATAACCAAAGTGTTAAAACTCTAGAAATACAATTTCCCAGAACCCAGGGAAAGCAAGGGATAGAATTCTTAATTGAATCCATGCTAAGCACAGCCATGAAAATGAATGTGCTTGTTCATGGCTTAGAAACCGCTGCATTTCGGGAGGAAATACAGCACCCTGAATAGTAGTTATCTATTGACAGAGAGGTTAGATAATATGGCCGTCAGGTCACATTGGCAGATCTTTCACTTCGGTAACACTTTCCACTACAAGCCAAATAACACTTCCACCAAAAATCACTCTTTCCTATCTCACAGAAAAGAAGCCAACCAAACAAACAATCTTTACTGCCAAGCAGAGAGCCTTATGCCTGGGGAAGGAAGGAGAACTGAAAACTCCACACAGACCCCTAGAGTTCTAATCACACTGATGTATGAATATGCCAGATATTATGAAAAAGGGTACCCGTACAGACTCCTACATTAGTTAACTGGAAATGCCAGTGTGGTTAATGGGTATGTGGTCATTTGGTAATGCCTTCTCTCTAAGACAATGCCAGTACCTACAAAATTAAATGTAGTACCAAATATGAGTGAAATGTATTTCTAAACCTTCACAAACACACAAGTTTAATGTGTGGCAAGTGAACAGTATTACAGTTACATATAGTTAAGCAGTCTCTGGGATTTACTCACAACCAATAGTCCTGCTGCCAACTGGCTCATTAAACCTCCAGCTGTTTAAATATATAACATGTTCTCCATGTTTTTATGTTTGTTTAAAGCCTTAGATTTTCTGTGGTGTGCTCATACAGAAAGAGGATAAAAAGTCACCACTAGAAAAGTCTCCAACAAACCCTTGCAGCTGTGGACTTGAAACTGACTGTGCTGGCCACATCTGTAAAAGTACTTTGATTCATCTGTGGTATTTATTTTCAGAGGCTGTTGTTTGGGATTCCAGGAAAGCAGCATAAAAATTGCCAATCTGTAATATAGTCTCTCATTACCATACAGGTAGAGTATGATTTCTACTGACCTATTTAGGAGGCTTGCATACATTTCAGGAACAGGATTAAATTGAATCAGGTTACATGTAATGTTGAAGATTTCAGCTTGGACTGTGTATTTATTTAATTCTTTCCAATAAGTAGAAAAATGCAGTGATTTGGAAACTTTGGTTCACAACTTGCAAAGACTTATATGCATGCTTAACTATATATGCACAAGATAGCACTATTGTTTTGATGGAACTGCTTGCAATGTGCAAAGTTAAACATGTGCAAACATTTTTGTAGAATTGGGGTCTGGATAGGATCCGCACTGGACTCCAATGAAGTGCAACCTGCTTTGTGTTGAAATGTAGTATAGAAACGAAATGTAGTATAGAAACACACCACATTATTACCTAACAGTTTTAAGACAGAAAGGTGAGAGAATGTTTACTTAAACTACAGAAACGCAGTTAAGGCAGGCAGAATCTAACACTCGTATTTGAATTTGGCCATTTTCATATGAGGATGAAAAGTGCTATCAGGACCTTAACCTTGGCTGTATCACATGGCATCTTCAGCAGCATCCTGTGGTGCCAACCCTCGCTTTACAGCAGTGGTTCTCAACCCTTTTAGATTCAAGGCACCCCTGGGCAAATGACAGCTTTTAGTTCTCTTTTCTTTTTTTTTTTTTTTTTTT